GGCTGTGGCAGAAAAGATTGGCAAGAAGATCACAAGCTCTCAAAAAATAGAAGATACTACAGAAATCCTGACCACATCAGAACCTGTGACAACAAGCCATAACCGAGCCACTAAAATGAGTCACAGCTCTACTTCTGTACACCTTTTCTGCTGTGGGTTATGGAGTCTCTTTTCCCACGCTGAATCTTCCTGATGATTTCTGGCAGAACGGAATGACCTAGAGGACAAGGAAAAGGCTGTTCCCACAGTAGGACACGGCCACTGACAAGGTGCAGAACTGCTTTCCCGTTGATACGATGCACTGCTGAGTTTCTACAAAGGCTGCTGGGTCTTGCATGCCTGTCAGACAGCTGGATGCCTCCAGAGCAGACCCAAATACATAGTGAAGTCTTTCAGCAAGAATTCATTTTTATAAACAGCTCTCATACTAAGTTCATGATCCTTGCTCAAAGAAAAGTGATTTTTTCAGAAGAAAGGAAATTTTACCTTCAGTACATGACCTGGGATGGGGACAACAGCGGATGATGCCCATGAAATCTCCCTTTCCCCAAATGAAGATGAGCCGGAGGAACAGGCTACACAAACACAAAACAAATGGTGGGGTCTTGACTCTTTTGTGGAATAACTACCATTTCCAAATGGCTGCCACCGCTCGGGTAAGCAGAGAAAAAATCCTTCCAGCCTTTGTGGAGTACACAATAACTAAATTCTTTCAGGGCTGAAAATAAGCCTGAAGCACTGCTTCTGACTTTCTTCTCTTTCAAATTAAGAACTAGGGCTAATGCTTTGTGGTTTGGAGGGAATGGAAAGCCTGAGGGTGGTGATAGCTTGTGACAGCAACAGCTTTGGTTTTTCAGAAAAAAAAACCCACAATAAAAATTCTCTGCCCAAAAGCAATCGTTACATTGTTATACTTTGAAATGAGCAGTGATTAACTCTGAAATTGGTTTGATATTACTTGAGTGAGAGTGGTGTTTTTTTTGGATATTAATGTGTAAAAATCCTTTAACACAGACACTGTCTGTATAGCTGCTTAGTTGAACTTCACCAGTTGTATTTGTTACACTATTTGGGATGTGTTGTTCAAAGTGTCATTATTTTAATCCCTGTCAGGATATTGAGCCATACTGTGCTGTAGATAGTTGAGCAATTCACATTGAAACTGGTGGGTGGGTACAGCTACTTCTGAGGTTGGCAAAGATATGAAACAGTTAACAATAAACAGTGAATAATCTATAAAATCTGAATGCTGTTATCACAACAGCCTTGAGCTGAACACTCACATCACAAGCTGTCACCATTAACACAGAAAAGACACATTTTGAAGCAAGATGAAGGACTAAACTGAATTTTGCTTTCCTAAGGGGTATATGCAAGAAGTTAAATAAGAAACACCCAAAGAGAGAAGAAAAGCAAGTCATCAAGGGAACATCACGGAACATGGTCCTTAGAAAAGCCTTGTGATAATGGTGGGACAGATGAGGGACCCTTTTTTATTTGAAGCCTCCTGTGTTTAGGGAAAAGATATACATAAATATAATTGTATTGAAGATGACTGGCAAACCACATTTGGATTCACTATAACTGCAAACAAGTTAATTTCTCTATGATAGATAAATAATCCCAGTTGCTAGTGACACGAAGCACAGATTCTTCTGATACGGAGTTGGACTACACAGTCCCTGTATATAAAGAACAAAAACCATCGCAACCTTGGTGTGGACAAGTTGACACTACCCGTTAGATTAATGGCTGAGGTGTCAAGAGGTGAAGGTGGAGGGAGAAACTCAGGTTGTTTTCATATCCTCACTATTCATAAGAGGGCACGTCTTGCAAAAACACGCACTGCCTCCCAGCATCTGGGGAGTGCATCCAAAAAGACTCCAACTCAATAAATGGTCCCAGTTGAATGAAATATTTAAAATCAACTTTAAACATGTTTCTTAAGCATTTTGCTAAGTGTGAATGGACTTAACAAGGTACTAGATATTTCTCTGAATCCTTTTTTGTGTCTATGAGTCAACTCAGTCCTAGGGGATCTCTGCATTTCAACTTTCTCTGAATGCAGTGGGGAAAGGGGCTCCTCGTCTGTAAACAATTGCCGAGACAGATTCAACAATTGGCTCTCATGCTATAATACTTATTTTTGCTTATGCTGTGGCAGAATTAATTTACTGGGTGTGAATAAATGAACTGCCACCCCAGTTAGCACTTCCAGTCTCTGATATTGTTCCACATTCATGACTTAGCCCTGGGAAGAGAGCAAAATTCTTCTTTCAAGGAGGTCCTGGAGATCTCTGAAATCTATTTTGAGGTAGGAAGAGAAGTCCACCATTCCAAAATTCTCCACAAAAGATATGACTGAAGACATTTTGTTTCAAGTTCGTCAGAAACGTTTCAGTAAAGTTGTGGTTTTTATTTTACTTTTAACATTCTAAAATCACCTCTTACAAAGCAACAATATTTAACAAAGTAAAATGAAAAATAAACATTTTAACATATTTTTCTTACACACTTCAAACCTTTTTTGATTTACCTGAACTACACCCTGAGATTATTTTTTTTCCAAATAATAGCTAATCAGTTGTGATAGACTAAACAGATTTGTATAGCAACTTCTATTAACCAGCTCTGTTTCTGTGAATAATCACAGAGATATACGACAGGATTAAAAACAAGGATATCAAATGCCTTCAAACCTGTAACAATAAAATAATTGCCAGAACAACATTTCATTTAATCTAATAATATCAAACCTTCCACATTTGTGTTTTAACTCAGACAGCAGGAGCTATTTTGAAGAACTTCTTTTAGCAGCTGTGCTCCTGTGTAGTGGGTGCCCCTTTGTTTTGCAGGCATCGCTCAGTTGTCGCAAGTGACAGAGATGCTCAGATGCGATGAGCTCACTGGGATGGCAGTTTTCCAAGCGTTGTTCTCACCAGGTGAGGGCAGTCATATTCCTTAATGAAAAGCAGGCAGCTGTCACCTTGGGAGAAAACCAGATTGGCCGCCCACGCATATAGCCGGAGGGATCCTGCTTGGCCTGAGCTTTGTGTGTAGCAGAGGAAAAGACAAACCAGAAACAAGGAAAAGGAAGAGAATATTTCATGAGCATAATTTATGTACAGTTTTTGTCTTGCATAGCCTGTCCTATTTGAACATGAATTGCTATCATTTTGGCGGAAGCGGGGGCACTGGTATAATATGCATATTTTTGTGCAAAACAGACATGGAATGCAGTCATCTTTGTCCCAATGCAGTGAAAGACTGTAACATCTGCATATCAATAGCGACAAAATTGATGCAGTTCTCAGTTGTGTCATTTCAGAGAAACTCAAGGCAGAGGGGAGGGGGAGGGAGTTCTCAAGTCTTTCTTCCTATGGCAGTGGCTTGCTTTTTTCCTATTTGCAGTCGAGGGGCCAAATTCAGCAGAGCAGATGAGGAAGGGGCAGACCATACCCACCTGGGCCAGAAAACCTCACTGTGCTCTGAATGGGGGAGGAGAAACACACCTTTGTCTCTGCTGGGGGCAAGGATGGCTTGTCATGGTACCTCCACGGAAATTCAGAGGCAGGTGCTGCAGCCTGTTAGCTAGGTTAGCTTCTAGGTTAGCTTCCTCATGAGTGGTGTTCCCCAGGGCTCAGTTTTGGGTCAATCTAGTTTAATATCTTATCAATCATCTGGATGAGGGGATTCAGTGCTCCCTCAGTAAGTTTGCAGATGACACCAAGTTGGGTGGGAGTGTCGATCTGCTCGAGGGTAGGAAGGCTCTGCAGAGGGATCTGGACAGACTGGATCGATGGGCTGAGGCCAACTCTATGAGGTTCAACAAGGCCAAGTGCTGGGTCCTGTACTTCAGTCACAAAAACCCCAATGCAATGCTACAGGCTTGGGGAGGAGTGGCTGGAAAGTTTCCCGGCAGAAAAGGACCTTGGGGTGTTGGCTGACAGCCGACTGAACATGAGCCAGCAGTGTGCCCTGGTGGACAAGAAGGCCAGCGGTATCCTGGCTTGTATCAGGAATGGTGTGGTCAGCAGGAGTAGGGAGGTGATCGTGCCCCTGTCCTTGGCACTGGTGAGGCTGCACCTCGAGTACTGTGTTCAGTTTTGGGCCCCTGACTACAAGAAGGACATTAAGATGCTAGATCGTGTCCGGAGAAGGACAACGAGGCTGGTGAGGGGTCTAGAGAACAAGTCTTATGAGGAACGGCTGAGGAAGCTGGGGCTGTTTTGTCTGGAGAAGAGGAGGCTGAGGGGGGACCTTACTGCTCTCTACAGCTACCTGAAAGGAGGTTGTAGTGAGGTGGGTGTTTGTCTCTTCTCCCAACTAACTACCAATAGGACGAGAAGAAATGGCCTCAAGCTGCATCGGGGGAGCTATGTACTGGATATCAGGAAAAATTTCTTTACTGAGAGAGTGGTCAGGCATTGGAACAGGCTGCCTGGGGAAGTGGTGGAGTCACCATCCATGAAGGTATTTAAAAAAATGTAGATGTGGCGCTTCAGGATATGGTTTAGTAGGCATGGTGGTGTTGGGTTGACGGTTGGACTTGATGATCTTAGAGGTCTTTTCCAGCCTATGATTCTATGATTCTACAATTCTCTGGAGACAATATTGAGCCCTTCTGGATCCCTGGGGAAGGGGAGGAGAAATGAGATAAATGAGTGCAACAGCTGCTTGCTGTGTGCTGACTCATGAGATCTCCTCCAGATCTACAACCCCTGCAATTGCTTGAACTCCTGAAAAGACCGGACAGCTATCAAATATCTCTGTCCTCATTTTCATCAGAATGAATTTGTCATTAATTTCAAAAGAAACCCAGTACTTAAGGATTATACATTCTGCGATTTTCTAAACATCAGCTATTGTTAACTGTCAGAGACTGGGCATGGAAGAAGGTCAGATGGTCAGTGGTAGCTCTTTTTTACTTGAGGTTTCTTCAA